AGAGAGAGATACAGAGAGGGGGAAGAGAGAGGGGGGAGATACAGAGAGAGATACAGAGAGGGGGGAAGAGAGGGAGGGGAGAGAGAGAGATACAGAGGGGGGAAGAGAGAGAGTGGGGAGATAGAGAGAGATATATACAGAGAGAGGGGGAGACAGAGAGACAGAGAGAGATACAGAGAGCGGGGGGAGAGAGGGAAAGGGGGAGAGAGAGACAGATACACAGAGAGAGAGAGATACAGAGAGGGGGAAGAGAGGGGGGGAGATACAGAGAGAGATACAGAGAGGGGGGAAGAGAGAGGGAGGGGAGAGAGAGATACAGAGAGGGGAGAGAGAGAGTGGGGAGATAGAGAGAGATATATACAGAGAGAGGGGGAGACAGAGAGACAGAGAGAGATACAAAGAGGAGGGAAGAGAGACAGAGAGAGATACAGAGAGAGGGGGAGAGAGGGAGAGGGGGAGAGAGAGACAGATACACAGAGAGAGAGAGATACAGAGAGGGGGAAGAGAGAGGGGGAGATAGAGAGAGAGATACAGAGAAGGGAAGAGAGAGAGTGGGGAGATAGAGAGAGATATATACAGAGAGAGGGGGAGACAGAGAGACAGAGAGAGATACAGAGAGGAGGGAAGAGAGACAAAGAGAGATACAGAGAGAGGGGGGAGAGAGGGAGAGGGGGAGAGAGAGACAGATACACAGAGAGAGAGAGCTACAGAGAGGGGGAAGAGAGAGGGGGAGATAGAGAGAGAGATACAGAGAGGCGGGAAGAGAGAGGGAGGGGAGAGAGAGAGAGGTACAGAGAGGGGAAGAGAGAGAGTGGGGAGATAGAGAGAGATATATACAGAGAGAGGGGGAGACAGAGAGACAGAGAGAGATACAGAGAGGAGGGAAGAGAGACAGAGAGAGATACAGAGAGGGGGAGAGAGGGAGAGGGGGAGAGAGAGACAGATACACAGAGAGAGAGAGATACAGAGAGGGGAAGAGAGAGGGGGGAGATACAGAGAGAGATACAGAGAGGGGGGAGAGAGGGAGGGAGAGAGAGAGATACAGAGGGGGGAAGAGAGAGAGTGGGGAGATAGAGAGAGATATATACAGAGAGAGGGGGAGACAGAGAGACAGAGAGAGATACAGAGAGCGGGGGAGAGAGGGAAAGGGGAGAGAGAGACAGATACACAGAGAGAGAGAGATACAGAGAGGGGGGAAGAGAGAGGGGGAGAGAGAGATATATATACAGAGAGAGGGGGAGAGAAAGAGACAGAAAGAGATACAATGAGAGGGGGGAGAGAGGGAGAGGGGGAGAGAGAGAGAGAGAGAGAAAGCTTTTGTGGTTCCCGGTGTTTTTTAACAACTGGCTCTCTGCCCTAATGATGGGCTGGGTAGGTGTGGCTAGGGGGGTGTCATGTGACTGGTGGAAGTGAGTGACATTGAGTTGGCCACGTCCACCCAGGTTTTGTGGCTCCCGGTGTTTTCTTTTCTGTGGGAAACGGGTCCAATTGGCTCTTTGAGGGTTTAAGGTTGCAGACCCCCTGGTCTAGTTTAATGAAAAGAAGGACTAGGGGAGACATGATAGTAGCATTCCAATACCTAAGAGGCTGAAGAAGAAGAAGGGGTCAATCTATTCTCCAAAGCAACTGAGGGCAGGAGAGGAAGCAATGGATGGAAACTAATCAAGGAGAGAAGCAAACCTGGAATTAAGGAGAAATTTCCTGACAGTTAGAACAATTAATCAGTGGAACAGCTTGCCACCAGAAGTTGTGGATGCTCCATTCCTGGAGGTTTTTAAGAAGAGAGTGGACAACCACTTGTCTGGGCTGGGGTAGGATTTCCTGCTTGGGCAGGGGTTGGACTAGAAGACCTCCAAGGTCCCTTCCAACTCTGTTGTTCGTGTCAGCATTCCAGCGCTGACATATTGAAAGGAGAGGAGAAGGTTGAACGTTTGCCTACTTAATTCCTTTGAAGATTCTGTTTCCTCGGAGATGGGAGGAGGGGGGGGACATTCCTGTGATCTGACGGAGATGGGATGAGGAGAGTGGCTTGGAAGATAGCCAATGAGATGCAGAGAATTGGGGATCGGAAAGGGAGGGATTGGGGGGCAAAGGTCAGTGCTGACCGCGAAAGAGCCAGGGACAGATCACTGTGCTCAATAAAGAGAAAATTTCCTCAAAGATCGGCAGTTTGGAAATTCCTTTATTTTGAGATAGCATCGAAACCTGACAGTTCGGTTGTTATCCTGAGTGATGAGAGTTGTAGGCTTCTTTGGGAATGAGAAGGTTCTTCATGTAAGATCTCTGCAGAGCACCAACTTGGAAAAGTCTAACCCTACACATTATATTGGTTGTCCTCTTATTTTGGTAAGGTATAAGATCTAAATTAAGCCCAATCAAGTTAAGACGTGCCCCAAATATGTTTCTGGATTGGCTAATTCCATCATCATCATCATCATTATCGTCATCATCATCATCATCATCATCATCATCATCATATCATCATCTATATATACTAAAATTCCATGGTTTGCAGCCCAGCTACATTATTTAGAGGGGTTCATATGGGGAAACTGTCTTAAATTGTACCATCTGCATTTATCTACCATTTTCACAAGAATGTGTTATGCAAAAAGTCAAGCTGATGTAACCTGTTGAGGAACAGGTATCAGGCAAGGTTTAGGATAAAAGGTAAGGACCCTCTTGATTCAAGCTTATCTCCAAGAGACCTCAGGGAGATGTCCATGTCGTTTTCTTGGCAATGATGTAAAAATGGCAACATCTAGCCAATCTTGGGTGATGATCAGATGATCAAAGAATGATCTTGAGGGTACTTGGATAGGAGACCATTAACAAATCCCAAACTGTAGCTAGACCAGGAAAGGAAGTCTCAGAAGAAGACCATCTCACATCTCATTGCAAGAGAACAATATGGGCAATGTCTGGGCAGCTACTAATGAAACCTGAATGGAAGGATACTTGACTTCTGTGTTTTTCATGACTAAACCATTGGAGTCTTGTTCTTTCCTCCAAAGGACCTTGAGATGTCTCAGTACATCCTGGTCTATCTTCTCCATCTTGAAATGGTTGAAATTGGCTGTAGTGACTCTTCATCGTTCATGTTTTTTTTTTCCATCCGTCAAACCTGTCAGTGCAATAACTTGACACTTCCGAACGACCATTTGAGGTACATGATATGCGCAAACATGGAAGCTGAACTTCGAATGTCTATGGAGCGTCTCAATCATATAGGTCATGGTTGTCCCCAAAGTGTTTCTTCCAAAAGGCAACTGGACTTTCTTGTTTTTTTCTTCCTCTTTGAAAACATTTCGCTTCTCATCCAAGAAGCTTCTTCAATTCCTGAAGTTCCAGAAGAAGTACCTCTCCTTTAGTACTAATACCTTATAAATTCTTAATCTATATATATATAAATGGATGTGTGTGTGTATGTTCCAGCATAACTCTGGAACGCCTTGATCAATTTCAACCAAACATGGTACACGGATGACTTACTCTCTGGAAAGAAATACTGTGTGCGGGTAAGACACCCCTAACACCCCTCAGGGTGTGTTCTGTTAAGATACAGCATACAGCCTGTTGTGCCTTAAAATGGCTTCTACTGTACAGCACAGTGGAATTGCCATGGTAATGGCTTTACAGTACTCCACAAGGGGGCTCCCTCTGGTAAGGGGGAAAATCCAACATTAGAAATTACGTTTGGTCCGGACATTTTCAACAAAGCATACATAGGAGAAAAGAACTACAACATCCAAATGATCATGGAGCAGCTAATAAAACAACATAGTATCATGTTACTTGATGCTTTTGGGGCACAAGGAAACATTTCTAATTAATTTAATTCTCACCAAAATCAGGGCTCAGGGTGAAGTTGCTATTCCTGTCTAATACAGGATTGGGATAAATAAATACCTGGGCAATACTTGGTTATCAGCTAGTATTTTATAAAGTATGATTACCACTTTATAAAACCTTAGTAAGAATGATGCATCCAGTTTTGGTCACTTTACCAAGATAGATAGATAGATAGATAGATAGATAGATAGATAGATAGATAGATAGATAGATAGATAGATAGATAGATAGATAGATAGAGGTAGAGGTAGAGATGATAGATAGATAGATAGATGATAGATAGATAGATAGATAGATAGATAGATAGATAGATAGATAGATAGATAGATAGATAGATAGATAGATGATAGATAGAGATAGAGATAGAGATATGGGGCTGCAGAAAAACCTTGGTTATGTAGGGAAAACCTGGCTAGAGGAAAAACATATATATATAAGATGATTAAAGGCCTGGAGAGTAAAACGTATGAAGAACGGTTGCAGGATTTGGGTTTGGCTGGTCTAGTGGGGACATGATAGCAGTCTTCCAATATTTGAGGGGCTGCCATAAAGAAGAGGGGGGGCTCAGCTTATTTTTCAAAGCAGCAGAAGGCAAGACAAGAAACCGTAAATGGAAACTAATCAAGGAGAGAAGCAACCTGGAATTAAGGAGAAACTTCCTAACAGTGAGGACAATTAACCAGTGGAACTGCTTGCCACCAGAAGTTGTGGATGCTCCATCCCTGGAGGTCTTTAAGAAGGGACTGAACCACCTTTGTCAAATGGAATAGGGTCTCCTGCTTGAGCAGGGGGCTGGACTAGAAGACCTCCAAAGTCCCTTCCAGCTCTATTCTGATTGAAGCTTCTTGGATGAGGAGCAAAATGTTTTCAAAGGAAATAAACCAAGGAAGTCCAGTTTCCTTTTGGGGAAAAAAAAGCATCTTTTTGGAAGCTGAACTTTCTTTAGCTCCTCTGAGCTATTCTATCTCCTCCTTCCACTGATGAATGTTAAGAGGTCTGGTTTCCTAAATATTTGGATCTTCTGGCGTCCTTGCAAAAGGCTGTTTCTGACTTATGAGATTGAATTCTTGGGTTGAGATGATACAGTTCCTCTCTTGTTCCTGCAAGGACCTTAAAGTCTGCTTTTCTTCCTTTCTCCCTCTAGCTGCTTATCCTGCAGCCTATGGTCAGATAGGCCAGGCCTTCCCACAGCCACCTCCCATGATTCCACAGCAACAGAGAGAAGGTGAGTCTTTGAGCTGCTGAAATGACCACTGCTTGGGCTTTCTGTAGCTTCAGAAACAAGGCTAAACCAACCGTCCCGTAGGAGATTGCAGGTATCCAGGTATCTGAGCAGAAGAGAAATCTTGTTAGAGGTGGCCAAAGTCAACAGTAAATCAAGGGAAGATGGTAAGTTGTTGATAAGAACCGTGGTGGTGCAGTGGTTAGAATGCAGTATTGCAGGTTAACTGTGCTCACTGCCAGCAGTTCGATCCTGACCGACTCAAAGTTGACTCGGCTTTCCATCCTTCTGAGGTCGGTAAAATGAGGACCCGGATTGTTGGGGTCAACAGGCTGACTCTGTAAACTGCTTAGAGAGGGCTGTAAAAGTGATATATAAGTGTAACTGCTAGTGCGATAGATAGATAGATAGATAGATAGATAGATAGATAGATAGATAGATAGATGATAGATAGATAGATAGATAGATAGATAGATAGATAGATAGATAGATAGATGATAGATAGATAGAGTAGATGGATGGAAGGATGGAAGGAAGGAAGGAAGGAAGGGAGGGAGGGAGGGAGGGAGGGAGGAAGGAAGGAAGGAAAGAGAAAGAAAGAAAGATAGATAGAGTGGATGGATGGATGGATGGATGGATGGATGGACGGATGATAGATGGATGGGTGGGTGGATGGATGGATGATAGAGATAGATAGATAGATAGATAGATAGATAGATAGATAGATAGATAGATAGATAGATAGATAGGATGGATGGATGGATGGATGGATGGATGGATGGATGGATGGATGGATGGATGGATTGGAGGAAGGAAGGAAGGAAGGAAAGAGAAAGAAAGATAGATAGATAGAGAAGATGGATTGGTGGATGGATGGATGGATGGATGATAGATAGATAGATAGATAGATAGATAGATAGATAGATAGATAGATAGATAGATGATGGATGGATGATAGATGGATGGATGATAGATAGATAGATAGATAGATAGATAGATAGATAGATAGATAGATAGATAGATAGAGTAGATGGATGGATGGATGGATGGAAGGAAGGAAGGGAGGGAGGGAGGGAGGGAGGGAGGGAGGAAGGAAGGAAAGAGAAAGAAAGAAAAATAGATAGAGTGGATGGATGGATGGATGGATGGATGGACGGATGATAGATGGATGGACGGATGATAGATGGATGAGTGGGTGGATGGATTGATATAGATAGATAGATAGATAGATAGATAGATAGATAGATAGATAGATAGATAGAGTGGATGGATGGATGGATGGATTGGAGGAAGGAAGGAAGGAAGGAAAGAGAAAGAAAGAAAGATAGAGAAGATGGATTGGTGGATGGATGGATGGATGATAAATAGATAGATAGATAGATAGATAGATAGATAGATAGATAGATAGACAGACAGATAGATATCAGTCACTTTTTTCAGTGCCATTGTAACTTTGAACAGTCGCTAAATGAACAGTTGTAAATTGAGGACTTCCTGTAATTGAGAAAGGATGAACTGCCATCTTCTACAACTTGCTATTCACCAAGTGTCTTGGATTATCTTCCTTCTGTATACAGCTAGTGGTGTCAAAATCCAGGAACTTTTAAGATGAGATGAAAAAGAGGGGGGAAAAATAGGCTAAATCTTTCTGTTCTTGAACTTTATAGATTTTTTTTTATTTTTTATTTTATCTCGAATTTATATACCGCACCTTCTCCCGAGGGACTCAGGGCGGTGTACAGCCAGATAAAAACATACAATACAAACATTAAAAAACAATTAAAAGGATATATATTAATTTGGCCCCAATTTAAGATAACAAACCAATTAAAAATTAAAAATATGTTAAAAAATATGTTAAGCCAGCCCGGCTTGCTGAAAAAAGAAAGTTTTAAGGGCACGGCAGAAGGCACCGAGGTCTTGGATTCTCCTTATCTCTGGGGGCAGCTGATTCCAGAGGGTAGATGTATGTACACCTTGAGAGGATTTCTGACTTACAATAGAGACAGTGATACGTTCAAAAATACGGGTGCCTTATTTTTCAAGAGGGTTGTTAATGCATAATTCAAGGACAACAAGCTGAAGGGAGCAAAGTTCAAAGGTTCCTCTGCTTATTTGATCCACTTTTATCCAAAATGTGTACTTTTTTTTCTACGGTGGAAATTTTCCCCGACCTTCTTTTATCCTTGAGAAGTTTAGAGCCCACCGCTCTTAGCCTCCTCCGGCAATGCTTCTCAAAGTGGATCACGTCGGCTTGAGAAGAAGTCACTGAATTGAGGCTTCCTTGGGGCTTTGACCCCATAGAGAACCCCTTTTAATATTCGTTTTTTTTTTTAAATTTCTCTTCTTTTTCACCTTATGGATGCCCCTGCTGGGCTAACCAGCTTTGGACTGTAATTTAATTTTCCTTAGAACCTAGTAAGAAAATTAATCTAATCCACGAAAGCTTGCATTTTCTCAGGTATCTTTCTTCATACCTCCACTCTTAATATCTCTATCTGTCTGACTGTCAGACAGATTATCTGATTATCTGTCCATCCATCCATCTATCCATCCATCCGTCTGTCCGTCCATCCATTCCATCTGTATCATCTATCTATCTATCTATCTATCTATCTATCTATCTATCTATCTATCTACCTATCACTTATCTATCTATCACCTATCTATCTATCTATCTATCTATCTATCTATCTATCTATCACTTATCTATCTATCAGCTATCTATCTATCTATCACTTATCTATCTATCAGCTATCTATCTATATCTATCTATCTATATCTATCTATCACCTATCTATATCTATCTATCTATCTATCTATCTATCTATCTATCTATCTATCTATCACCTATATCTATCTATCTATCTATCACTTATCTATCTATCACCTATCTATATCTATCTATCTATCTATCTATCTATCTATCTATCTATCTATCTATCTATCTAATCTGTTTGTCTAATCTACCCATCCATATTCATCTATATCTATCTATATACTGTGTGCATATACTATATGTGTGTGTGTATATACATCTATATATAAATCCAATCATCTATCAATCATTTCATCTATCTATCTATCTATCTATCTGAATCACCTTGAGGTAATAAGGATAGCAAATAAATTTAAAAATCTAATAAACAAATAAACAAATATCATCTTACCCATCCATTATCTATCTATCTATCTATCTATCTATCTATCTATCTATCTATCTATCTATCATCTATCTATCATCTATCTATCTTTCATCTCTATTAGCTATCATTTATATCTCTATCTATCTCTATCTATCTATCATCTATCCTATTTATCATCTTTCTATCATCTATCTATATCTACCATATCTAATCTATTTATCTATCTACCTACTTACCTACCTACAATATATCTGCCAAATTTCCTTTCACGAAATGTGGGCTGAGTCTCAGGCAATCTGAACATCCCCAGTTCTCTTGAAGCTGGGTAAATGTCAATGCCAGGACTTAAAGGAAGAAAATGTCATAAGGGTGTCAGGGTCCCAACGAAAGAAGACTCCAAGGCTTGAAGTTCCTCAAAGTTCCATTTTATTAGAGATGTCATATTGGCACATCTGGGAAAACCAGAATCTGAAAGCTTCCAGGTTTCCCCCCCCCAAAGGAAGTCCAAGTCCCTGACCCAACAAGTCCATCACATGGTCCAATCAAAGCACCATCCCAACTGGAGATGCCTCCAGTCACACCACTCCAGGTGCAGAGCAGGATGTCCTTGACTCTCAAAGAAAAGAATGTTATTATCACTATACATCACCTATGCTCCATACAATCCCCTCTTCCAGTTTCCCACAGTAGGAAATGTGGCAGGTCTGAAGGCCCAAATGTAAAAGTTGGCTTCCAGGTCTCACAAAGGGTGAACTTGATTGCCTACTCTGGTCTCCTGCAAAGGTTCTCTTTCCATTATATTCCTCCTCCCTCCACCTTCCATCCTTCCAGCCACCCCGAGCATCTCTGCTTGGACCATACCTTCATCACCTAACTTCTCACATGCAATTCTCAAAGCCTGGCAAAGGAGTACTCGGAAGGAACTCAAGATTCATATACAGGTTAACAGAGTTGGAAGGGACCTTGTAGGTCATCTAGTCCAATCCCCCATCCAAGAAGACCCTACACCATTTTTGACAGATGGCAGTCCAGTCTCTTCTTGAAAGCTTCCAATGACAAAGCTCCTACAATTTCTGAAGGCAACTTCTGTTCCATGGATTGATTGTTCTCACTGTCAGAAAATTCCTCCTTATTTCTAGGTTGAAACTCTCCTTGATCAGTTTCCATCCATTATTCCTTGTCTGGCCTTCAGGTGCTTTGGAGAATAGCTTGATCCCCTCCTCTCTGTGGCAGCCCCTCAAATATCAAAAGACTGCTCTCATGTCTCCCCTGGTCCTTCTCTTCACTAGACTAGCCAGGCCCAGTTCCTGCAACCGTTCATCATATGTTTTAGTCTCCAATCCCCTCATCATCCTGGTTGCTCTTCTCTGCACTTTTTCTAGAATCTCAACATCTTTTTTATAGTGTGGTGACCAAAACTGGATGCAGTACTCTAGGTGTGGTCTTACTAAGTCTTTATAGGGTGATATAAGTACCTCACTTGATCTTGATTGAATCCCTCTGTTAATGCAGTTTAGGATTGCATTGGCTTTTTTGGTTGCCGCCACATACTGCTGGCTCATATTTAACTGGTTGTCCATTAAGACTCCAAGATCCCTCTCACAGTTACTGCTATTAAGCCTGGTTTCTCCCAATCTATATGCGTACTTCTGGTTTTTCTTGCCTAAGTGTAAGACTTTACTTTTCTCTTCATTGAATTTCATTTTGTATATTCAACCTGAAGATGAACTCATCAAATGGGCTGGTCCTTGCAGAAGACATTAATCAACCAAAGATATCATCCATCAGCTTCGTATGGTGAGGAATAGATCAGAATAACTCTGTTATTCTGAATATAGTCAGCTTCTGTTAATAAGT